CGGCAGGTAGGTTCAACTATTCTAGGTACGAGCCGACGAGGAGTTGCAAGTCCACATGCTTGGTCAGCTCGACCACGTAGAACTCGGTGAATCGTTTACGCAAGCCGACGAGTAGTTCTTTCTTGCCAACATCGGTCGCCGGGTTCATGCAGGTGAATAAGGTGAAATCGGGATGGCGTGCTATGGCTTCCTGATCGCCACGTTCCAGAAGAGACAGGGAGCCCGACGAGCCTTCGAGTAGACCGGAAAGGCACTCCGGAATCTCGGCGTTAGCGAGATTGACCTCGTCGAGCAGGACACACTGACCTTCTTTCAAAGCCTTAATTAAGCTGCCTCACATAAAGGCGAAGGCCAACGAGAGCTGCCTCTTCACTTGAGCCGCCAGCTTTCTCAGCTTGGCAGCCAGCTGGTCTCACTTTCTTACAGTCTTGCGGCTCTTGTCTTCCGGCTCGCTGATGCTTTGACCTGAGTCGCTTCAAAGCAGCACCCGTACTGGTATTCATCAGCGCAACGAGGGTCTTCCATTTGCTTTTCGTGAGGCAAGGGTCAATGTGTTCCAGGAATTTTTTTCTAAAAGAATATGGAAACTTAAATTGTTTGCGTGAAGATGTTAAAAAATAATTAAATTGCATTTTGTTAACGAATATATTTTTACCTTGAAATAGCACAGAGCAACAGAATATGTCGATGGCGTCTTGAAGTAATTTAAGAGCAGAATCTTTGGAGGAAAAGTTTAAGCAGTTAACAGCTCTGTGACACCAATTTAATAGATCTCTAGTGGAAATTAATCTTCATGTTTTTAAAAAAAACAGTTCGTCGTCTTCATCACTATCGGTATTATTATTGCCTACAAAAAAAAAAAAAGAAAACATCAACGAACTTAGAAGTAACTGTATTTCATACTGGGAACAGAATTTGGACAATTGTACTCAATTCTTTTTTCGACAGCGACTCCATGTTAATGCACAGCAAGTGTTTTTCAAACAGACTACTGGCTCCGGATGACTGACATTGGAAGCCGGACATCATGGGGATCAATCTCTGCGTGAAAAACAGCTGAAATCCACTGTTAACGTGAAAAGTGTCTTTGCATCCAGGAACAGACAGAGTTACAGTTTGCATGACATTACTCAAAATGCTAGCAACGTCTCGTGCAGCACTGTATATAACATCCAGAAGGAGCCAATTTCCACATGAAACTGCCTGCGTGAGCACACCAGCCTGCCACTCAAATTCTCCAGATATATCGGTGCATCTGTAAGTTCCCAGCAACATTTATGAGTCACTTTTATCCCCAAACTATACTTTAATGAAATTGGATGGCCAGTGTCCAGTTATTTTGGCCAAGTATTCAACGATGGCTGTTTAACCGCAGCCAACTGCACCTTGCAGGCAAATGCATTTTCTTCAAGCTACTCCAAGAGCCAAACTGCGCAAGTTTTCTTCCATTGCTGGCACAGGAATTAAATCACTATTTGAACATTGGATTTCGTTGTTTAAAACTGGTAATAAGACTCTACCAACAGAAACGACGGATGAAATATTGTCAGCTATGTCATATAACTCTTTTGTACAAGATGTTTTTTGTAAGCAGACGTTTGTATCATTTTTTCTTGTATCTAATTCAAATTTGTCTGCATCGCTCAGCAAAGTTTTTCCACACTCCAACTGCAAAATTTCTGCCATTTCTATCACTACCCAATTCACTTTACAGCAAGCCTATAAACAAAATACACAATTTGAAACTACTCATTTCACAAGAATCATTAAAAAAATTGCACAAATAGTATTATACATGTATTACCATTTCACATACTCTTCTTTATATCAAAAATATTTGTAAAACTTTGAACACTTCCACATCCGCCTTAATAGTTTCAATTGACAATACTCGTTGTATTTTCAATAATCCCTAGATAATTTTGGTGCATCATCAATGTACTCAAAGAAAACACAGAAGTATTTGCTTCGTCAAAAAATAAACAATTCTTCTAGTCTCATGTAGAAAACTGTATAAACAGAATCAATTATTTTTTAACCGCTGAGCAGTGCAGAAGAAAGTTTTATCACCTTCGACATCTGTAAGTATAAGAAGGTGTAAGATCATAACAACTCCATTAGAAATAATATAAAAGGTTTTAAGTCCCTTCAAGTAACAATTTTAATTTATGACTATTTTTACTTATATTCTGAATGACGATTATATTTGCATATATAATTTGTATATGATTTTTAGTTATGTTTATGTAGATTTAAAAAAACCTTAATTATTGGAAACTACTTCCAAACATACATTACAACAAC